CATGAGCTCTTACATGCTGGAGACGCTGGAATTTAGCCGTAAAGGCAGACAATGCAATGTTGTCAGTGGATACGTGGGGCGATAATTGGCTTCCATGCTGCCTACAATTGTGGAGTTCTAACTCCAAAGGCAATCTCTCCGAACTTGAAGCCATACCCCGATGGGCGGCTCACATGTATTCGTACATTGATCATGGAAGGAAAACAGCTTGCAGTCATTAACTCCTCTGGCTTCTTACCCTTCACCTAGAGTTGCCATGCATCCTATCATCGGATCGTACAGCGTCGCGGCAAAAAATCCCTTCACGCTCCCCTGCAATCGATCACCCAAGTCTCCGTGGAACTTCCGTCACCAGTGCCGCATCTTATCTACTTCACCCGTCCAGAACCGCCCATGTATTATCGTCGACAGTTGTGAAGATTTTACCGGCAGCCACAAGTTCTTCGGCACCCTTGTACACGTCGCTTGTTGAGAGGCCCATTGCAGATGCAATCATCTGCACGTGCAAACCCTCGTTGCTTTGCGGTGTGTTCTTGAGCGTTGCGAAAATTTTCCGTGCTAATGGTGAGCAATGAGCCAGTTGGGCGTCAGCTGCAAATTCCTGGCGCATTCCATTCCCCATCATCCCATTCGCCGGCGCATTTCTCTGCTGTCCGTTCGACTGGGCATTCGGGGGCGGTCCTCTCGTGAAGAACAGGTGAACAGCCGTGGCTTCGAGCAAGTGGTAGTTGATCTCGTTGTAATCCGTGATAGGACGAATGATATGTGCCCCGACATGTCTCTTGTTGTTGAACGCCTTTAACCTACCCCATACTCGACAGTAGCCGTCTTCCACCAACTTGGGTTTGTTTGAGTCAACGTCCATCTTTTCTGCGTTGTTTGACTCTCCGTCAATCCACTGTTTCGCCTCAATGAGACCCGTCCCGTCGTCAATTTTATACGTGATGTTTGTCGGCTGAGTGCTTATACTGCGGATTTGGCCAACGAATGTGACCTGCACATAATAACGTTAGCGATAAATATTTAGATTCCTATGCGATCGATTTACCTGGCTGAATGGCTCCCCGTCAGATCGAAAATCAGCATCTGGATGGGGTTGTTCTGCGTCGAGTATTTGTTTAATCGTCATCGGGCGGACAGTGTCTTTTCCATAGCCTCCCTTCAGACAACAGGTTAGTCATGATCTTTGAGTCTAGGACCCATGGCGAACGACGTACCCTTCCTGCAGCAGGGCTGCTCTGAGGCTCTCCAGCCACGAAGCCGCCACCGTCTGCGGCTCCATGAGCACCGTATGAAGTCGTATATTGGTTATCGTAGCCGTAATCTGCCAGCGTCAGTGGGCTTTAAGATGCATAGAGGCCCGGTGTACATACTCATTGTGCTCACATCCGGGGTTTGCTCAAGCGTTGAGATGTTGACGAGTCGAAGGCCAAAAAATACAACTCACAACACCGACGCGTTCCCAACGCGTAAAGTGGTTTCCACCCACTCGCCACTCACCGCAGACAAATTATTGATCCACCGTATAGCCCCTCTACAGACCATCATAAGTGCACCAGGCGCAAATCGTAATTTAATAATTTTTAGAATTATGTTTATCGCAGGCAAATCTACACCGCATCTGCGTGGATGCCACCACCAAAATGGCGTATTTTGCCAGGGACGTGCGCACACATGACTAATCTCTGAAGCACAGGTCTCGATTCTTATGCCACGATGCCTCCTAGATCGGGCTCGCCCGCCCGCTCAGAGAACGAATTTGACATTGGCAGCGCATTGTTCGGAGGCGACCTCGAAACTACGTTGGACTCTCCAAATGGACAAAATGGGGATTTGCAAGGGGACAACTTGGATGTCATGGAAGATGACTCCGGGATTGACGAAGAGGCCTTCATCGCCGCTCAACAAGCGGCATCGAATCGCAAAGGTGCAAATCTGAAAGGGCGCACTGTGAAAAAAGGTGGTGGTTTTCAAGCCATGGGTCTCAATGCCAATCTGCTGAAAGCGATAACGAGGAAAGGATTCTCTGTTCCCACGCCGATTCAGCGCAAGACAATACCTCTCGTCCTCGGCGAAAAGGACGTGGTGGGTATGGCAAGGACTGGTTCCGGAAAGACGGCGGCTTTCGTCATTCCTATGATCGAAAAGCTCAAGGTACACAGCACGAAAGTCGGTGCCAGAGCTCTGATTCTGTCGCCGTCTAGAGAGTTGGCTTTGCAGACATTACAAGTGGTAAAAGAGCTAGGCAAGGGCACGGATCTCAGGTCAATCCTTCTGGTGGGAGGTGACAGCCTGGAAGACCAGTTTTCGGCCATGTCTAACAACCCGGATATCATCATTGCCACTCCAGGGAGATTCCTTCACCTGAAGGTCGAAATGAATCTGGACCTTATGAGCGTCAAGTATGTTGTCTTTGATGAGGCCGATCGACTCTTTGAAATGGGGTTTGCAGCCCAGCTCACAGAAATTCTACACGCCTTACCCTCATCGCGGCAAACTCTCCTGTTTTCTGCTACGCTACCTAAGTCACTGGTTGAGTTCGCCCGGGCAGGATTACAGGATCCCATGTTGGTCAGGCTTGATGCAGACAGCAAGATATCCCCCGATTTACAAAGTGCCTTCTTCACTTTGAAGTCATCTGAAAAAGAAGGGGCTTTACTTCATATCCTCCAAGACATTATCAAAATGCCTACAAGATCCCAATTGATCTCGTCAACCACGACTTCTGCGACAACTGAGAGATTGAACAGTAAGAAGAGGAAACGCGAGGCAACTGAAGACAACGGCAGCAATAAACTTGGTCACAACCCATTTTCCACCATAGTCTTCACCGCCACGAAGCACCACGTTGAATACATCGCAAGCCTACTACGTCTGGCAGGCTATGCAGTCTCCTACGTCTATGGCTCGCTCGACCAAATAGCCAGAAAATCCCAGGTCCAGGGTTTTCGGAGTGGTCAGACAAATATCCTTGTTGTCACCGACGTCGCAGCCCGGGGTATCGATATCCCGGTGCTCGCAAATGTCATCAACTACGACTTTCCCTCGCAACCCAAGATATTTGTCCATCGTGTGGGACGGACTGCACGAGCGGGCCAGAGGGGCTGGAGTTATAGTCTTGTCAGAGACTCCGATACACCCTATCTGCTAGATCTGCAACTCTTCCTCGGCCGGAAACTGGTACTTGGTCGAGCACCGAGCAGCGACCTTGTCAACTTCGCACAGGATGTTGTGGTTGGCAGTTTTCGACGAGAGGCAATCCAGACCAGTTGCGAATGGGTGACAAAATCATTAGAAAGTGATTCCGATCTCTCGGCTCTCCGAAATGTGGCATCAAAGGGCGAGAAACTATATCAACGGACGAGGAACGCCGCCTCCTCAGAAAGTGCGAAACGATCGAAACAACTTGTCTCGTCACCAGGCTGGTCAGAACTGCACTCTTTATTCAACGATGCGACAGATGACATGGAAGTTGAAAGAGAGAAGATGCTTGCACGTGTGGGCGGTTTCCGACCTCAGGAATCCATCTTTGAAATTGGCGCTCGGCGTGGCGGGCGAAAGAATAACGAGGATGCGGTGGACGCTATTCGCAAGATTCGGTCTGGCTTCGATAGTAGGAAGCAGAAGGGCGCGGATGCTTCCCAGACGCGGACAGAACTCGGAGACGATGCAGTTGCTCAAACTAGCGATCTATTCGGCTCAGCAGAAGATAATGTTGAGTCAGGTTTTATGGATAGTGACAACGATGTCGATGGTATGTCGGAAGCCTCTTTAAGTGATCTGGAAATCACCTTCTCTCAACCATACTCCAAGAAATCCCGAACACCAAAGTCATCGAAGTCTGGATCACGCAGCACGGATGGAGACTTTCGCGATCCCGAGAACTTCATGTCTTACCAGCCCACTACACATGACCTTACTTCTGACCGCGCCTACGGCGTCCACTCCGGTTCCAATACAAATTTGGGCACCAGCTTTGTGGAATCTGCGCGCACGGCCACGATGGATCTTGCAGCAGATGAATCGTCCAAGACTTTTGGAGAGAACAGAGCCATCATGCGGTGGGACAAGAGGCATAAAAAGTATGTGAGGCGCGACAATGACGAGGATGGATCTAAGACAGGCAAGAGACTTGTGAAGGGAGAGTCTGGAGCCAAAATTGCCGCGAGTTTTAGAAGCGGGCGTTTTGAACGGTGGATGAAGGCGAATCGAGTGAACAGGCTGGGAAGAGTAGGTGAGGAAGAGAAGAACTCCGGCGTTAGCGCGAACGGAGTGGGTTCTGCCGGTAGCAGGGGAAAGAAATTCCAGCATAAATCGCAAAGAGCACCGAAACAGCCGGATAGACTGAGAGGGGACTATGAGAAACAAGTGAAAAAGGCCAAGGGCGCGAAAGAGAGAGAAGAACAAGCGGGCGGGAATGCGAAAAGGGAGATCAGAAGCGTCGATCACATGGTCAAGGAGAGGAGGCTGAAGGAGAAGAGAAGGGAGAAGAATGCCCGGCCACGACGACGGAAGGTATAGATAGGCAAGGTCAGATAGAACAGAGGTTTTGATTGACAGTCACTATAGCAGACCATTGTTTTCTATTTGTAATACTTGTGTCACAACAGGCAGAGTCTGCGTATATGAGGACGAAGAACCATGCTGCCCCCCGAGGTTGACGAGGCTGTGGACCATGTAAAAGGGGCAAGGCTGCCTGCGTACGTATCTCTTGGCAGTGAGAGACGACAAACCCATCGATTTCACGACATCACATCTTTCCCCTACAATGAACTACCGGACCTACCTCCTTACATGGTCTGTGCACCCTTTGCCAACATAAGTAACCCCACAATAGATCCGCCGGCGATTGCTCTTCAGATACCCTCGAGAAGAGCATATATCACTTCCAAAAAGCCCGGTGCGAAAAAAAGGGATCCGACACACATTGCAACGACGGCGAGGACTTTTGGTTTCGTCTCGCTTCTCTTATAATCTTGTGATTACTACGTCGTGAAACCATGAACCGCAAGCAGAGGCGGGCCAAGGAGACGGCCAAAGCGATCAAAAGTGCGGATGACATCCCGCTCTCAAAACCAGATCGGTCTACGGCACCAGAACATAACAAGGGCAAGACAAAGACGCTGCTCGAAATCGCCGCCGAACGACAGGCTCAGCTTGCCTCAACGATGTCCTCGGGGTCTGGAGGCGCCAAGGGCATTGATGCTGGTGGTGCAATCAAGCCGGAGAACATTGTGCAAGTCAAGATTGGGAAAGGGGGAGAACTCATCGCAGAGTCGGACTCGTCGGAAGTGCCGCCGTTACTGTCTTCGTCGTTAGAAAGCGAATATCCCTGGCTCGACACGCTCCTGCTCGCGTCGTCGCTCAGCGCGGTCCACTTCACCCTCTCCGTGCTCGCTATGCACCAGTACGCCGAACAAGTCCACTTCCGGCCGTTGATCATGCAGACCGTGTTCGTCGCGCTCCCCACACTCGCCTTCTTCATCGCCCTGTTCCACGGTCACCTCCTCCCCTCGTCACTCACGAATGTCCCGCCCTCGGTGAAGTACTGGGTTGTCCTTCTCCGATCCATCATCTACGTGGTCACGGCGAACGTCGCGGGGTGTTACTTGATCCAGTTGACCAACGACAAGGGGTACTACGCAGTCATGAAGGACGCGCCAGGAGTAGGTACGCTGTGGGTCTGGGCGATTCTTGAAATGGGATTACTGGGGGCACTGGCTGGAGTGGCAGGGCCAGGGATTTATGCTTGGTGGTACGGGTACGGGATTTTGTGATGGTCGACAGCAGAGAGCACGCGATCAATAGCAACGGAAAGGCTAGAAGTCGCCATTTCGACTAAACAGGGTTTTTGAAATTTGCAACAGTCATGTCCGTGTCCATGCCCCGGAGATGGCGGAGAAGCTGAGAAATGTACCCCTTTTCGCGTGTGACCGACACATGTTGAAAGGCGCCTTGGCCTGGTCGTACAAGGACGCAGCCTGCCGCGGATGCCATTCTTGGAACGTGCTCAAGGTAGCGCAGGAGAAGTGTCAGATCGCGGGCTAAGTTGCTTCTAGAATCCACCTAGTAATTGGAGCGGAATCACGACATGGTACGAAATCATTGAAAAAATGGACGACCTGCTGGTACCAGCATTCCCGCCGAGTCCGCGTCTGGACTTCGGGCCGCTCATAGTGGCCATTTGCGCGGGTCTGACTGGGGTCGGAGAAGCCCGACGGTATTATTGCTGGTGCGAAACAGTGAAAATTTCCGTGGTACGAACAAAAATCAGTTGGGAGGCTCGTGGGCCACATAAGGCGTTGGCATTGGATTTTGCAGTGGATTCCATCGAGTAATGATGGAGTAATAACGGCGAAGTTACCAGCAGAGTGAGATCCAGCGGAACACCTTCTCCGTCGACACATGGAAAATTTTTCTGTAGCACGAGTGTGCGCACGAGCCAAAATGGCGACATGATCTGAGTCAGTCGCGCAAATGTCACCCTACTTGTACAGGTATTTTGACTTCTCTTGTTAGCCCGCTGGTAATAGCGACCGTGTCCCCGTCACCCAGACATTGCGACATACAATGGGAGCCAGGTCCTGGCCGCTGCCCAAAGGCTGATCGAAAGCCCTGATCCGCGCGTGCCGGAAAATTTTGAACATCTCAAACTCTATAACCAAGGTCAAGAGAGGGGTCGGTGTACCGAGTAGAGGCAGCAAAGGAATCAATCATGTTTTGTCCAAGTTTGCGGGGTACAGCAAGAGTGGCGTTTTCTAGGTGCCATTATTGGATTCTTGCTAGTCTGGGTACTTGGAAGCGGTTTGCTTGAGGCGATGGCGGTGGCCAGGGGGGAGCAGGAAGAGCAGGGATTCGTCGGCGACGCCTCGTACAAGGTCTTCCACCAGTACCTAAACCGTAGAGAGTAGTCAGCTGCCCTGTGAATCACACGGATGTCAACAGTTGGCGCTTGAATTGCGTGTGGACGGAGACAAGTCTGACCCAATCGGCGATGAAAATCACCCAACTCGCTTCACTGTTTGGCGGAACAAATCTCCCAAAGAGAAGGTGTCCGCGATGTCCGTGATGTCAGCTTTGGCTCATCTATCATCAGGTTTCACGGAGAAGTTGGGAGGAATGGTGCAAAGATCCAGGCGGTGGACCACGGTCGTACCAGCAGTGGCATGAGGAAAAACGAGGACAACAAAGAGACTTGATGGTTTCCGGGTTGCAGTAGCTGCGCTTGATCTTGACCTGATCGAGTTTCCATTATTCATAGCCCTGCTCTTTTGGTCACTGAGCGCCCAACACGGCTGAACATACAAAGACAGGCACATGTGGCTCATGACTTCAAAAAAAAAAAGTTTTCTTCGACAGTCTCTCATTCAACCTTTGGTAACTTCTTCCGCTCTCTCACGCAAGAAAACTTGTCAAGTTCAATATCACCAGATCAAGTCGGAGAAGATCGAAGACGACATCGAGCCACCTGCACATCCCCCGGACTTTTTGGCGCCAACAAGAAATTTTAGAGGCATCGGGCGTAGGCGCAGGCACAGACAAAGGCGCGGGTACATGTGGCTCCCTTTGCCTCTCCAGAGTCTTCCCTGTATCTGGCAACTGAAGCCCTTGTCCCCGGCTACCTCATCCCCCTAACGCCCCCCACTCACCTTCCTCTCTCCGAACTCGCCTACGTGTTTCGCGAGCATTTGGTGTCCCGCTCTGCGCGCGTTGCGTCACCCACTCTAGTTCTTGTCCATTTTTTTTAGTGGCAGCATCATGCCATCGCGCATCCAAGTTCACCACGGTACCGCCACCTCTCCACGACAAGCACCCAGTACTGTCAACGACGTCGTCAATGCGCTACATCGCAAATTGACCGCCAACCACTTCGAAATTCCCTCCAACCCATCCTCAAGAAGACCCTCTTTCTCCATGGAATCCCTACTCCATCCAAAGAAGGACAAGAAACATGAGGAACTCAAAGATCGTGACTCACGAAATCAGAAACGTCTTTCGCTGACCGGTCGTCATGCCAGCAAATCCAAGGACAGAACTTCGGGTCACTCGCCCAGAGTCGTTGCCACTCAGCCGGGTCGTTTTGAAATGGTCATCGAATCCCCTCCTCTAGTACTTTTCGGAACTCCGAGCACGTCCACAGGAGCCTTGCTATCGGGTCGCCTGAAGTTGCTCATTGACGACCCCGCGCGCGAGCTTCGATTAGAGAAGTTCACTATGGTCCTGCGAGCAACCACGACTACCAAGAAGCCCGTCGGTAAAGACTGCAGAGATTGCAGCGAGAAAGTCGAAGACATTAAGAAGTGGGAGTTTCTTTCCGAACCAAAGACCTTTTACGCGAGCAATGACAACCAATTCCCCTACTCTTATTTGTTTCCTGGTCAACTTCCTGCCTCCACACAGTCTCAATTGGCCTCGATCCAATACTCACTCGTGGCTACCGCAATCACTTCTCATGGCGAGAAGATTGTCCTGAACCATCCGCTCACCCTTCTTCGCGCCATTCAACCCGGCCCTGACAAGTCCAGCATCCGAATTTTCCCACCGACAAATCTCACTGGCCGCGTTCAGCTGCCTCCCATCGTCCATCCCATTGGAGTCTTCCCTGTCACCATGTCGATGAGTGGCGTCGTGGAGAAGAGAGCCGAAAGCCAGGTTCGATGGCGGCTGAGGAAAATGGCTTGGCGGATCGAAGAGCATTCCAAGGTCACCTCGACGCCATGCGCCAAACATGCCCACAAAGTCAGTGAAGGGAAGTCGATCCAGCACTCTGAAACAAGAGTGCTGGGGAATGATGAGCTGAAAGGCGGCTGGAAAACTGACTTTGATACCATTGGCGGAGAAATCACCATGGAATTCGAAGCGTCTCTCGCCACCAAATCGAGCCACAGGGCTACTTGCGATGTCGAGTCTGCTTCAGGGATCGAAGTCAAGCACAACCTGGTGCTCGAGTTGATTGTTGCGGAAGAGTTCTGCCCGAATAAGAACCCCTCTCTGGTTACTCCCACTGGCGCTGCACGTGTGTTGAGAATGCAGTTCGGCTTGATAGTCACCGAACGTGCAGGCATGGGCATCAGCTGGGATGAAGAAATGCCGCCTGTCTACGAAGATGTTCCCCCGAGCCCACCAGGATATGGCAGTTCAGATAGAAATGATGGTGCCTGGGGTGGCGCCATTATGGAAGATTACCACGGACCAGAGCTCGAGTACGAAGACCTGGAAACGATGCACTCTCAACACTCCAATCCACCATCATCACCTCGGGCTAGTAACACGGGGCTTCCCATGCGTGATCGACCCCATCATTTGACGAGAGACAATTCAAACGGCGAGGGATCGTCGCGGAGATTGAGTCCTCCTAGACGGCACTTGGGTGGCATGACGAACGATGAGTTGGGTGCAGAGCCGCCCCAATATGCGCTGCGATCTACAAGCGAGTCTCGGAATAATGAGCAAAGTGGTCCTGCCGAAGATTATGGAGAAGGGACCTCGTCGAATTCGCAACGCGGATGAAGATGTCTCGCAAGCAACTGACCGTAGCGAATCCAATTTGTGCTACAATCCGTTCGCTATCTCCCGTTGGAGTGCGTCACACACTTCGATCCACAACACGAACTGGAACGATACGATTCACGAACATATTTTGATTTTCAACACTTTCGCCGACACTCTTGAGGGTGTACGGCTTAGGGGCGGCCTATTTTGGATTTTTGTTTGTTTCCGACTACAGAAAGTATTGATGATACCCCCCAGCATGGTTCAACTTTGACAGCGAAGCATTTTTTTTTGATACGAGGGGACAAACGGACCCGAAGCATGAAAAAGCGTATGCGGATTTTGGGTCGTCGACGTTATGGATTCAGTCAACGGTGTCTCCCTTGTCATGTTGTTGTTGGTGTCTTGAGTCTCGAGGAAAATTCTCCGGTGCTTTTACTTCCTTCGCAGGGCATACCTAGCTAGGTACATGGGTATTCTATTTTTATGGAGCAATGATACGAGGCTGCTGCAGCAGCTTAATAGCTAGCTAGCAGGCAGGCTCTCATCGATTCGAAATATTTGATGTTTTTTGTCGTTGTTTCTTGGTGATTGCGAAAAGTCGTGCAATGCCGTGAAGATCCAGTCGAGGACTGTCCGTCCAGCGAAGAATTAAACATCCAACCCCCCACCCCCCTTCTCTATCTCTCGCGCACGTTATGATAAGATGATAAACTTGAATTCACTATTGATATCATAAGTACGATGGATACTACAGTATCTGTGCTAGGTCCTTGTCTCCGTAGTCGTCAACATCGTGGTCCCCACCACTTTCTCTTTCCTTCATCTCCCCGTGCTAGCAGTGACTCCTAAGTACCATCCCCATCGTACGGCATAGGCATCTTTATGATTAAGTGTAGTGACGTCCAAGATTGCGCGGCCGCTAGATAAGACCTCCCTTGTCTAGGGGTGGCGGTCTCATTCATCCACGTCCCGAGGATCATGTTTGGACCACCACTCGTCGTACTCGTCCGGAGTCATGGTCTGGAACTCCGTCGGTCGGGTGATGGGCACGAGCGACTCGCCCCTCTTTGCAAAGTCCTCGATCCTCTTGCGCGTCAGTTCCCGGCTCTTGTTGACGCTGTAGATCTTGACGCGGTGGCACGACGACGTCACATGCAAGCCCCAGTTCCACGAGTTGCGCACCTCGAGCGGCTGCGTGTTGAGGCTGTTGTCCCAGCAGCGCACGACAATCTCAATCCACCCCTCCACGTCGCAGGGCAGGTCGAACTCCCAGGTCCGCCAC